ACTCTCTGTGCTACTCACTGTCCCATGTCTGCCTGAATATGTGTGCTTGTTCAGAGTGCAGCCGCCGCTCTCTATTCAATCCAGTGCAGCATGGACAGCACAGGACAGGACAGTACACAGGCGCGCATCATACGGCAACAAGCATCTAGTTAGCTGACTATCTTTCTAACTGCTGCTGCTGTCTCCTTTCAGTATTGGTATCAGGCCGACAGCACATCTGTCCTTCTCCTTCTCCTTCTCCCTACCACCCTGACTTTCTTGTTGGTGAAAGCCCAAACTGACGAGAAGCGGTCGGCTCTTACACTGGCTCGATATTATTGCTGCTCCTTTTGCTCCTGCACAGGAGGCATCGCAGGCATCGCACCACCAGCGCACACTGCTCGCCATTGACAGTGACAGAAGAGAGTGCTTATAACACCGGACTCTTCAGTACTCTGCTCGTCACTTTCTCCTCTTGCGCCCAGTCGAAGCTCTTCTGTCATCACCACCAGTTGTCTGTCTTTCTCTTCAACACATCTTCATTACCACCCAAACCCGAGCAATGGCAATCAAGCTGAACAAGGTTCTCATCTCCGACCCCGTCGACGAGGCTGCCGTGGAGATTCTGCGAGCACGCAATCTACAGGTTGACCTGCGAACTGGTCTTCCCAAAGACCAGCTGCTGGCCATCATTCCCGTAAGTTGAGAGTGCTGACAAGTTCTGCTTTCCAATCAAAACTGACTAACACTTTTGTGTGAACGTTTCCAAAACAATAGGAGTACGATGCGCTGATTGTCCGCTCCGGCACTCAGGTGACTGCCGACGTCATTCAAGCGGCGAAGAACCTTAAACTGATCGGCCGAGCTGGCGTCGGCGTGGACAACATTGACCTGCCGGCGGCCACCAAAGCCGGCATCATTGTCATCAAGTAAGTTTTCTAATATGGTTTTACATTATTTTTTTCTAACGTAAACCTTTTATTTAGCGCCCCAGGCGGCAACACCATCTCCGCCGTAGAGCTGACCTGCACGATGCTGCTCGCCTCCTCTCGGTACGTCGCTCAGGCCTGCAGCTCGCTGAAGAACGGCGTCTGGGACCGAAAGAGCTTCACCGGAAATGAGCTGAAGGGCAAGACGCTGGCGATCATTGGTCTGGGCCGCATCGGTCGAGAGGTGGCCATTCGCATGCAGTCATTTGAGATGCGCACCATTGGCTTCGATCCGATCATTCCCGCTGAGGTGACCGCCCAGTTTGGCGTGCAGTCCCTCTCGCTGGAGGAGATCTGGCCACAGGCGGACTACATCACCGTCCACACGCCGCTCATTCCACAGACCAAAGGTGAGTTCAGTGCTTCCTTTTAGTACCTATCACTAACAAAACATTCTAAAACACCTTCTCAGACCTCATCAACGCAACGACACTGGCCAAGTGCAAGAAGGGCGTCCGCATCATCAACGTCGCCCGCGGCGGCATCATCAACGAGGACGACCTCCTCGCGGCCCTTCAGTCAGGTCACGTGGCCGGCGCCGGCCTGGACGTCTTCCTCGAGGAGCCGCCGAAGAACACGCCCCTGGTGCAGCACCCCAAGGTAGTGTGCACGCCCCACCTGGGCGCCTCGACGAAGGAGGCGCAGAACAACGTTGCCAAGGAGATTGCCCTCCAGTTTCTGGACATCCTCGACAGCAAGGCGGTGCCCGGCGTCGTCAACGCGCCGCTCCTCTCTGAGATGCTCAAACACGAGAACCTCATCTGGACGCGACTGGGCACTGACCTGGGCAAGCTGGCCGCCGCCGGCAGTCCCACCCTCCAGTCGCTGAAGGTGACCGTCACCGGAAAGCTGGCCACCGCCGCCGTCAAGCTGATCAAGGAGTCGGTGCTGGTGGGCGCGCTGACCGCACTCGGCGGCGCCTCCGTAAATGTCGTTTCCGCGGCGGGCATCGCCGAGAGTCGAGGCATTGCCTCCAGCTACGAGGTGGCCCCGGCCGCCGGGCCTTGCTGCCACCACTCCACCGTCACCGTGGAGACGGACAAGGGAGGGCGGTACACGGCCATTGCGCAAGGTCGTCGCGCCTACCTCACCACCGTCAACGGGGACACCTTTGAGCCGGCGGTGGTGCTCGACCACACGCTGACTCTGCTGCAAACGTCGGCCAGTCTGGCGGAGGTGCTCGCAGCTAACGGAGGTGACGTGGTTCTGGCGGCCACCCGCTCCAAGACCAACGCCCAGCTGTACGCCATTCACTCGACGGGCAAGCTGGTCGGCGGCACTGCCAACGCCAGCGCCGTCACCTCGGTGCAGTTTAACTAAAACCGCCGCACGCTTTGTCTGCTTACAATGATTGGGTGGGGATTATCCTCTGTCCACTGTCAACGAGAAATTATTACCAAATGTTTGACTTACTGTTCTACTACTGTTTGACCAATTAAAAGATGTGCCTTTCGAACAATTGAAAATCATTTGCGATTGTTGCAGTCTATTGCAGCCACTGACATTGGCAGCCCCTTTGTGTGATCATCGAAAGGGTTTGTGAAAACTGAACAGCACTAGAAAGGGTTTTTAACCGAGCCACTTTTTTGTTCAGTTGAATCCCCTCATTTATTGAGCACCAGTTCTTTTTGTGCATTTAACTGTGCCAGACAAAGTGTACCTGAAGTGTACCGGAAAGTGTACCAGTTGCAAGCAGCACGAGGGGTACGGCTACTGACAGTAGTAGCACAGTGGCACTATCACTGGCACACTTTACTCCCAAATAGGTGACTTCCACTGGGTGAACACTTTGGAAGAGTGAGAAGAAGAAAGTGGTTGTGACCACTGTCAACTGAAACCTTTTTGGGCTTTTAGTAGCACACCTTGTCTCGAGGCAGTCAGCCACTCTGTTCAGGTCAATCGTGCCGCGTCACTGCTCACTGCTCTTCTCTTTTCTGTTCTCTGCCTCCTGGTCACGTACGTGACCAGTGGCCATCGTGCGACAAGAGTAGACCAAAGTAGGAAGCTAGTGAAAAAGCAGTGAAAGGGTAGTCAGTGGTGAAGCGGTTTGTTGAGTGGGTGAGTGAGTGAGTGAGCCACAGCGGACAGCTCAACTAGAGCAGCGCACATTTCAATCGAACCATGCAAAAGTGGGCACCTCGGTTTTGTCTTCCTCCACCTACGTGGTCTTGCAGTGGTCTAGACGATCAAAACCAAAGTCTATGCAATTGTCGGCAGAGTTTGCCAATTTCAGTCGGCTAATCAACTTTGGTGCAATCATTTGCTGTCGGTCTACCCTTTCGATGTAATAAAATTAAAGTTTGGCTCAAGTTTTAAAAAACTGTAAATTTGTTAAAATTAATCAAACTGATTTTTTCACAATTTACACATATTCTAGCACTGTTCATGTGTGAGCATGTGCGTTTCCATAGAGTTCTGTTTTCTATCGGATAGAGAGAGAGAGAGAGAGAGAGAGAGAGAGAAGGTGCGCCTCTTTACCGTTGATGGATCAAATTTGCATTTTCTCTGCCCCTTCTTCTGCGGTGTGATCACATTGAGAGGCCAATGCTCGCAAACGGTAACTAAACAGTGCCATCAGCACTATTGGACACTGAAAAGACACTAGTTTTAATTACAACTTGGCGCTTCTCACTTTGATAAATATGCTCACTTGGTGGTAATAATGAGATTGCACGGCAACTCTGCGGCCGGCATAGAGCAAAGCAAAACATNGTGATCACATTGAGAGGCCAATGCTCGCAAACGGTAACTAAACAGTGCCATCAGCACTATTGGACACTGAAAAGACACTAGTTTTAATTACAACTTGGCGCTTCTCACTTTGATAAATATGCTCACTTGGTGGTAATAATGAGATTGCACGGCAACTCTGCGGCCGGCATAGAGCAAAGCAAAACATGGATTGAAATTATGACTATGAGAACAACAACAACAAATGATAATTGCAGGCTTTGCTTAATTCTTTAAAATGACTCAATGATTTTTTTAGTAATTGTGTTTTTTAAAAACACAAAAACAAACTTTTGCAATCAGCATCAGACAGTCGTAATATTTTATTCTGCAAACACTTTGAATATTGAATAACATTTATTAGCATGTTCAGTTACACATTTCTATAATCTCTACCTTTACTTTATGTTGATATTCATTTTTTAAATCTTTAACTAACAGTCTATTGCTTACAAGTGTTTTTAGGTAAAGATGAAAAAGTGCTATNTGGATTGAAATTATGACTATGAGAACAACAACAACAAATGATAATTGCAGGCTTTGCTTAATTCTTTAAAATGACTCAATGATTTTTTTAGTAATTGTGTTTTTTAAAAACACAAAAACAAACTTTTGCAATCAGCATCAGACAGTCGTAATATTTTATTCTGCAAACACTTTGAATATTGAATAACATTTATTAGCATGTTCAGTTACACATTTCTATAATCTCTACCTTTACTTTATGTTGATATTCATTTTTTAAATCTTTAACTAACAGTCTATTGCTTACAAGTGTTTTTAGGTAAAGATGAAAAAGTGCTATTAGAGCGATTCAATTAATAGGTGCAATGGCGTGTGTGTACGCACTTCTGGAGCAAGAATAATTGTGACATAAATGGTTTCCACACTTGGTGCCATTTGGGAAATCAAGAAAAACAGACACACTAGAGAGGTAATGGACAATGAAGAGAAAGCCAATCGAGGCCAAGATTGAAAGACTACCTCACAAAAATGAGGAAATTTCAGGGTAGAAGCAGGTCAAGTCAGGTATGCACTGCTAGTCGTTAGCAGATGAGTGCCAGCTAATCTCACCCCTTTCTCTTCAAGCAAGCAGGTGACCTTAATTAAAGAATTATTTAAACCAACATGTGCAAGACAGGACAATGGACGAGAGAAAAAGGCCACAGAGAATGTGTTTACAGCCGAGCAAGTCAGCAAGAAGACAGCCAGTCAACGCAGGAGCAGCAGCACCGAACAACAAATCAATCCCAATCGCGACGACCATTTGTTTGAGCAATCATTAGGAGGACACACTGTCACTGCTGAGTACAGTAGTTGGGTACAGTAAAGTGTCACTTCTATGTTCACCCCCTTCACTCACTACCACAACTGGAGAGATCCTGTCCTCGACCATAGCCTGTCCACCCTGTATATAGGTGCATGTATGGCGGCAATATGCAGCAATGCAGCAGCAGCTGCTGCAATTATCATTAGGCCATTGCTATTCGGCATAGTCATAATTAAAACACATACACGCGGTGGACACTGGTCACACTGGAGAGAGAAGGGAAGGGAAGGGAAGGGAAGGCAATGTGGAGGGTTCATCCGACGGTGGACACACTTGCTCACCGGTAGTGGTGCTGGTCATCAGCAGTAGTGGTGGCGGTGGTGAAGGTGGTGGAATTGCGGAAGAGTGTCACCAGTAAATGTGAGTGTGAGTGTGTCTGTGGCTTAGGGTTAAACGGGTCAACGGAACAGTGGGAAGGAGTGGAAAGTCAGAGCGATGACTGCTACCGTACGAGCACTGCTCACACAAACTGACCAACCAAAAATGTGAAAGTGAAAGTGGTGGACAGTCTTCGTGATCGAGCACTCTTCGACGGCCTCGACACCCTCAGTCTCTCCCGTACCACTGTTGCCTCTGTGTTCTTCAACCCGCTTTTTCAACCGCTGTCTCTCTTTTTTGGTTTGTAGCTTGCTGCTCAACGTTCTTTTTGGGTTACCACTACGCTGAAAATCATCTTTTTCTACGCTTTGTTTTCATATGCTGTTTTCTATCGCCTTTTCAATTTTTTTCTACTGTTTATAATACATAGGTGTTTTTATATATCCAATGTGGTTATTAAATTTTAATGTTTTTCAAATTCAATGTTTAAGTGCAAATGAAACTTCAGCAATATCAAGTGGTGAAAGCACTTGATCTTCTTTTGTTGTGCTTTGATACGCTTTTATCGTCATTTTCTACAAAAAAAGTGCAACTTGCAAGCATTTTTGTACTGAATCAACAAAACAAACCAGTGATCACTTTACCACTTCTTTTAACCAAAACTATTTGTATAAACAATTTGGATTGAGTGGTCATTTCATTGATGACATTTCAACGGTCAGACAACAATAAATCTGATCTCAAAATTAGCTGCAGCGTCCTCAGCTGCAGTGTCCACCACCCACCTGCCAAGGCCACCCCGCAATCGACGCTCATTTTTCCGAGAAATAAACAACAACAATCAAAGCACTGACGCCCTCGACATTGGCCAGTGCACCGAACACTCCCCTTCACACACCCTTGCCTTCCTTGCTGACTACATTACCTGTGTTTATTTGTTTGTGTTGTGCTGTGCTGTTGTTCATTGCTCATATAATTACCCCGCCATCGGTGTCCGACAGCAGCAGTTCCCGGCAATGCTGGGGATCTCACCTTCTTCTTCCTCCTCCAGCAGCATTCTTCTCTTGTTCCTGCTGTCACTACTTTGACTAATCATCAGTGCCTTTTCTTCTTCTTCTTTACTTGGCGTCATATAGCCAGAGAGCTATGAAAATTCGGCGTCTGTGAATTAATGAAAAGAAGAAGCAGTGTTGTGAAACCACTGTGCAACACTGTCTGTCTAACACAGTGTAATCACCCATTGAGTTGTAATTAAGCGAACAGAAGATGACGGACTGACTGACTGAGCACCACCACCACAAGTGACCCAAGTGGACACCCAAGTCGTGGCCTTGTCTTCCTTTTTTCTCTTTTGCACTTGTGTCCACCACCACCACTACCAATTCTTCTTCTTTTTCTACCACCCACTTTTTTTGTTACTCAACTCTACAACCGTATAATCAATTGTATTTTCCATTGTGATAACCACACACACACACACACACACACCTTTCTTCCAGATTTTCTACCTTTCTACTTTTCTGCCTGAAACCCTTTTTGTACCTGTTTTCTGAGTCACCACCGCAGAATTTACAGTTCGTTTTCTACTTCAACTACCGCTACACACCACATTTCAACCCCCTGTGCCTCCCTTTTTACTTCTTTTCTATCACAAAACTGTGCACCATTTACTGCCTTCATGTTTGGCTAATTTAGGAGGAAAATGACAAATGAGCCAAATAGTACTGCGAACAACGGCAACATTGGCAAGAATGACGAGAACAACAACAACAGCGGCAGCAGCAACAGCAACGGCAACGCCAACAATGGCAATAATGAAGGAGTTGAGGAGCAACCGAAGGAGACGGAAACGAAGGCCACTGTCGAGCCGCCGCCAAAGCTCGACCAGAATGGCAATCCACTCGAGGAGAGCGGTGGTGATGGACCAGGCGCTCAGCAGACT